CACTAATCAGCAATGCGTATCCCTTCTAAGATTAGAACCCATTTCACCCAGTGTTGCAGTCGGGAAATGTGCCACTAATCTATTCGGCTTCGCGATTGACCTCATTTGGGTAGGACTCTAATGGATACTTTAAGTGGACACTGGGTAGTGTCTAATGTCTTGCATCTAGTCCTTCGTGTTGGTGCAGATTAAGTTCTCTCAGTCAAGTTTACGATACAGCCAACATGCAACTGAACATCTCTATTCTGCCCTGTCAAGGCAGAGGAAATAAAAAAGAGATAATTTGTTTGCCTCGTTTGTTCTGAAGGTGTTTTATTGACTTTTGTTTTACACATCTGGAATACCGTTTGAAATACTACGCGTGAAAACAACCAGAGATTAGTTTTATTTTAACCCGTATTTACCTGGTTTCACTGGTTTACGTTTATTGATCAGTTCAAGGTCGTTGGTATGATCTTCCTGTCGGAGTCTTATTGTTTAATTCCGTTTCCCATATAAGTCGAAGTAACTATTGAAACTTGTGATCCTATGAGGACGCCGTTCCATCGATGATAGGTTCCTTAACATAAGCATTTCACCGCTCAAGAGAGTTATACGTGTGTACTTCGTAAGCTCTATGAATTCTGATGAATCAGTTGTTTATCTTCTCTGGGTTATCAGCTGTGGATCTTCCGAATGATGTTGGTTAATTTAGTATTGGCAGCTGGATGAATGAAAAAGATATGTAGCGTTTCTTTGACCTTCCGTAATTCTCTAGATATTGCCGATTCGTCGTCTACACTAATTTCTTACACTTTATTATTCGTAATCTGGCCCATTGCAGTCACCTTTCACTAGGTGATGTTTGTTAGCTCACATAGAATGGCCGCTGATGATAAGGAAGGCATGACACCCACTTCACATCCAAGCTTGAGCTTCACCACTGAAAAGACAAAATTGTCATATTGTTATCGATATAGCTAAATTATGTACACCTTATCTTCAACGCACCATTTGCACAGATCTTACGTGTTATGCTACTTCTGCCCTTCAAGTATTGTGTTTCTTTGTGTTCCTTTTACGTCGTCTCCCATGTATTTCCGCAACTCTGTATCAGTTGCTTTCTCTGATATCAAATCTATCTCCCAGCTGTTTAATGTTTATGCTGATGAAAATCTCTTTATATATACATATACTACTGACAAATCTTATCAGTAGCACACACCAGATTATGTAAATAGCAAGGAGAGTATTCGTCATGGACTGATTGCTGAAGCAATCTCAGTTCGGGTACAAAAGGCTTTCCTGGGGCACTTACAAACTTGCGTCATCTTCAGAGTAGGCTACATGTTCGGCTTTCCGTGGAAGGACATGTGTACTAGGCAGCAGTTCGCTTCATCCTTCTCTACAGGCGTGAGGTGTTCCTTTTTGAAAGGGGAAGATATGAACAAACTAGTCGTCTTTGATAGAAGGTATCTGCATTCAGTTTCTCGTGTCATGTGACATAATTACGTCAGTAATAATAAAATAAGGCATACAGATTTAGGTGAGGGTGGGAAATTAATCAATGGTTTTGTGAATATGCATCCATATAAAAGACTAGACAGTGTATTATTGATATAAGTATAAAACTTGAGCACTGTGGTGGAGTATAATTTCATTACGGATAAGATTTTATTTTGATCAATCAGACAGTGATGTTATACAATGATATTAAGTGATATATATATATATTACTGTATAACACTGTGTGATTTATCAAAATAAAATCCTATCCATAATGGCTAGACAATGTATTACGCACGCCAAGCTATCGCTTCTCTCGTCAAGTAGTGTTAGCTAATATAAGATGGAGTTAGAAAAGAGCCAAGGGTGACCAAACCAGAGCATGTTATCCATTTTTATAAAGTCTTTGAGTGTTATCTTTAGCCAATGAAGGAAGGTGTATACTGACGTCCTGGAAACTCTAAGGAGCAATGGTTTAAACCTGTTGATGATATGGCTCAAAGTTGTTCTCAGTGGTGCTGACGTATTATTATTATTGTTTCCTTTAGTTCCTAGGGGGACATAGAGCTTCAGCCGCACGTCTCCGTTACGTTCTGTTCTCTGCCAACGTTTTCACCTGGCTAGTGGTGCTGATGTGATCAATTTTTATTGTCTTCCAGATTCTGAAATTTCTCATTACTCTATGTATCAATATTCTTTCTGCTGTACATTTCCGTTTATTGTAGTTTCTTTGTATTTTATTTTCGTTTCCCCTACCTTAGTGAAGATTTTCTGTACTTTTAACATTTTTCTGTGCGTCAAAGTTTCTGTAGCAGTTTCACTGATTTTCTGCGGTAGGGTCGCTAGCATCCCACCCAACCCTACCTCTTTTCCTGGGCTTGGGATAGTCTAGAAAACTATCGAGCTAGTAAGGTAGGCGCGGAACACTCAGAGAAGCCTTTGAAATGAATACAGGAGTAAGACAAGGATGCTCAACTATTATTACCGAAGATATTCATAATTGTGGTGAGCTGACTTATGCGTCAGACTATGCACATGTGGCGAGAAAATACTGAACTGACCTATTAGAAGACTCTAGAGTATATGGATTGCGTGGAGGATGTTTAATGTGGCTCACACAAACTCGAAGACTTACAGGCGATAACCAACAAATTGGTAGAAGAGGCTTGTAGAGAAGACAGGATTACAAGTGGACATAGAGAAGATGGGGGTAATGAAGATAACCAGCCAACAGTGACAACGAACAGCATCAATCACCATTAACGGGATAAATTTGAGAGAAGTCACTTCCTTCACTTATCTAGGAAGTATTGTTTCAAGTACAGGCGACTGCATGGATAAAAGTGCCGAATTCAGCCAGAACCGAAAGGCAAGATACACCTTCATCAATCTCTAATCGGTTTCTAAATCTCTTGCACTCACTCAACACAAATGTGAAGTCAATCAATTCTTCTATGTGGGTCAGGAACTTGACTGCGCGCCCATCACGGAAAAGAATTCCAAAAGATTGCAGACTTTAATCAATAACAACTGTCTTTTGTGGCTCCATATTAAAGAACAAATGGCCAGCCGGTCAAGAGGAATTAGCAACACGAATTTCTGGTAACAAACTAACCAAGAACAAAAGGATAAAACTTGGGCACTATGGTACAATGTAATTCCATTATGGATAGAACTTTATTTTTACTAAGTCACACAGTGCTATACAGTAATATTTACTGATGACGTCGTTTTACAAATATTATTATTATTATCGTTTCCTTTAATTCCTAGAGAAACATACGGCTTCAGCCGTGCGTCTCCATTGCATTCGGTTCTCTGCTACAGTCTTCACCTGGCTCCAAGTTTGTCCATACGTTTTCATCGCCTCTTCACATGACCTCCTCCGAGTCACCCTCGCACTGACGACCAACTCGCCGCTTCCCTTTCGGCCGGGTTCCACTCGAGCAATGGCTTGTCTAGTGATGTCACTCACTTGATGGTTTGTTTCCTCAGAGTATGGCCAGCCAATCCATCTCCACTTCTTCCTGCCTATTTGTTGCACAATCGGTTCCTGCTGTGTTGCTTCGCTCATTGCCAGAGATCTCTGTTGCTGATCTTTTCTGGCTGGCCATCTAATATCGAGTAGTATTGAGCGAAGACAGCTGTTAATGAAGGTCTGTAGTTTGTTTGAGATGCTCTTTATGACGCGCAGTGCAAGTCTGTGATCCGTACAGTAGCACTGACTGACTTCACATTGGAGTTGAAAATCCGAATCTTATTTTTGATGCTGAGTGCTGTTGACCTCCACACAGACTTGAGAGTAGTGAAAACTTGTCTTGCTTTTCCGATTCTCGCTTTGATATCCTCGTCAGTTTCATCTGTAGTTGAAACGATGCTTCCCAGGTCGGTGGGTAAAGGGGGTTGTTTCTTTCAGGTTCCTCCCATTTATGCTGATTGTTGTCTGTTGTTGTTGTTGCTGTTGGTGGTGTTGCCCAGGAATCTTCATAACCTCTGTTTTCTCTATGTTCACCTGAAGTCCTATCTTCTGTGGATGATTCTTTTGCCAACTTGTTGTTTTTCGCTCACATATCTTCCAGTTTGTGGGAAATCAGACATATATCATCGGCGAAGTCCAGTTCCTCCAGGTTTTTTGTGTGAGTCCATTTTATGCCTGTTTCCTCATTGCCCACTGTTTGTCGCATTATCCAATCTACTGCAATCAGGAAAATCATTGGCGATAGTAGGCAGCCAGCTTGTCTTACCCCCGTCTTCACTTCGGAGGATTCCGTAAGTTTCCCGTTGTGGATTACTTGGCATGCAGCATTATCGTACAGCTGTTGGGTGAGATGTATAATTGTCGGTGGCACCCCGTAGTAGCGAAGTAGCTGCCAAAGCACCTCTCGATCGACGCTGTCGAAGGCCTTTTCGAAGTCGATGAAGTTGAGATAGAGAGGTGACTGCCATTCGAAGCTTTGTTCAATGATGATCCTTAATGTGGCGACCTGATCAATAAATGACTTGTTTCTCCTGAATCCAGCCTGTTCCAGTCGAAGTTTTTCATCCAGGGCATGTTTGATTCTCTCCAGGATGATGCGGCTCGTTTTACAAATATGTAGGAGAAAATGGAGATTTGTTGAGCGTACACTAAACAGACCGTTGAATAGCATCACACGCCAGGCTGTCGAGTGGAATCCGAATAGGATACGACGAGTTTGTCGTCAGTGCGAGTGTGACATGGAGGAGATTGTGTTACGAGGAGGAGATGAAAGATTAAGGACAATCGCTGAGCCAGCCGCCAGCAGAAGACAACAGTGGAAAATAGAACTAAATTGATATGTATTGTTGAAGCCCTATATTCCGCTCGGAAAGCAAAGAAATAATTATAATCCCTTAAATAAGCTAGATAGATAAATGACTAGACTTGTACTGTGTTCAAAGGTGTGAATTATCCACGATAACTATAAAGCATAAAATTCCACGATGACATATGATTGTTTAACTTCCTCCGCTTTCTTTTTTATTTCACTCTACAGATGCTAATCATAAACCAGTCAAGGAAAACATTAAAACCAAACTGTCTATACCGAAACAACAACCAATACGTGCTGCACCCAAAACTTTAGAATCTCCTGATCCCAATAAATTGTTGAATAAACCAGTTTCTAATACCAATGATAAAAATAGTAGTCGTTCATCACGTTTACCCTATGATATGAATGATTTCCCGCATACTGAAGTACTTGACGATGTTAGACGCCTAATTGATCCAGAGGATTTAATCAATCGAGTGGTCTACGATTTAGACGAATTAATTGTCACTGTATTGAAAGAATATCAGTGTAAAGATATGCAGACAGGACAGCCACCACCAGCAAGCCTACTGCTACCACAACAGGACCAACAACAACCCAATACTATGCCTTGTCAAAATCCCACTTCACCGAAGGGTGTCTCCCAACTTCCAGTGTCTAATATCATCTCAGAGTGTGATCCCGTCACAATGACTCGAGAAGCACCATCAACAACACCGACACCGACAACTTTTACACCATCGATGAAACCACCAACAGTCTCACCTTTGAAAGTATCATCGTCTACAATACAAGTGAATAATGTCTTAGTCAATAGTAAATTATTAGATATCACGAGAAAGACGAATGGCCATTTACAGAATGATAATATCCTCCTACAATCATCATTTTCACCGATGACCTACACAAATTATATTAATTTAAATGATTTGCCTATAAATCAGGTAGTCAGTGGAGATTCAATCGTGTCGAATCGTGATGAACTGCTGTAAGTTAGATGTTTTTGTATTCCTTGATGTTTCGAGTGAAATAGCATTATAGCTCCGGACTTGGAGCCTTGAAGTCTCAATAGCGGTAGTGTTGTTTTTCTCTTATGCGGTCGCGTTGGTCACCTCATGTCGAGCCTGCCTCCTTTCCCAGACTTACTACTTATCGGTTAGTAAACTAGGTGAGGTAGTCTGTCTGTGTGTTTTCAACATAGAACTTTGAACCGATGTACAGCAGTTCAAGTTGCCACACTCCCTCCTTGTAGCGCACACAGCAAGAGAAGAAAGCAGAAGAAATGCAAAATAGAGACAGTAGACAGGGATATGAGACAAGTGGATGCATCTACACCGGCCATCACCGAGAACGATTTTCAGCCATATCACCGAAAGCTGCTACCTTGACGAGGTAGTCGCCGGGCTTGCACATCGCAATGACCCAGCAAGCTACACTGGCTGGAACTATTGTTCCTGCAGATTCTACCATGCCAGGAAGGTTGTTAGGATAGCGATTAGACTAAAAGCTGTTACCGGCTTAGTGTAAGAATTTTTTTCTTAACACTATGCTGGGGGTCTGTGGGCGAAGTCGTACTTCTGGAGAACAGGGATGTTATAGCAGTGTGGTGTTTTCGTCGTAATAGGGGCATTAGTGTAACGATAAAGCATGGTACTATATGGTAGCAAAATGATGTGTAGTTACGGCAAGATGTGAAAAGCTTACACGCTGAAATTTCCATTTGTACATGCTCTTTGTATTGGTCTTCTTTTCGCTCCCTTTCGCTCCGTGCAATTTAATGCGTTGCCATCCTATTTGAATATTCTCGCGAAAGACATTCCACACAACATACTACTTGCAAAAGCTTGTCAGCAGTACATGTCACAGTAGGAGTAGTGTGAAAGAGAAACACGAAGGTATCCAGCAGCAAGAATGTTCATTAAGCTAAAGGATTATACACTAACGTCAAAATGTAATAACCTTAAATTGAAACTCAATGGTTTGATGGTCCATCGACCATCATGCGCACTTGATCCAGGGCTTGGTGTCCGGCTAGTGCACTCCGAAATCTCGCTTAGTCTTTGGTATTGTCGGGAAATAGAAGATATTGGTTGTGAGACTAGCATGCTCACCTCCTTGAAAGCAACAGCGCCACTGCGCCTGAAACTTCGAAACTTAGAGATGGAGGCTTCATGTTCCACTCGGAACGCATAGGAAAAAAACATTGGTGTTCTTTTTCGCTATTCTTCATTTTTCTATTCTTCAATTTAAACCGTCTCTTCACTGTTCGAGATTCTTGCATAAGATGTCGAATAAATAACTGAAAGATGGTCAACACATTTAAGTGTTTCACTTCCTATCCTAGAACTGCAACTAGGTAAGGATGAGTTCTGTAGTACCAAACGTTCATTTATACTCAGGCAAATCATAATTTGTATTCTGAAAGCGATAGTGCAATCTCTCATCCTTTTCTTAACATTAGCTGCGAAGTTTATGAATCTTTGCTTTATTCTCCTATATTCCATCCTATTTCATCCTTATTCCATCAGTTTCTAAAAGAGCTGTTACTACGATGCATCTTCAACGTCTACTTTACATTCAACGAAGTAATATACAAGCAAGTAGATGAAGTAGCAATGGGTTCTCCTCTAGGACCCCTCTTGGCCGACTGCTTTATGACTAGCCATCAATTATCGACGAGTTCCATCTCTACAAGAGAAACATTGATGATACTTTCATTATTTGTGGTGAGAATTTGGGTCTACAAAATCTACTCGAAACCGTCAATAACGCCCTCTCAAACATCGATTACACTCTGGAAGTTGAATCTGACTCAATGTTTCATTCCCTTTCATTCATGTTCAACTGTGAAGAAGTCCTGAAAACTTGCTTAGAAGATCCATCTACAAAAAGCCCACATGGAACAGACATGTTATCAACTTCTGAAGTTGTGTGCCTCTAAGCAGAAAGAGGAACCTAATATACTCTCTTTCCTTGAGGACCCGGAAAATTTGCACTGAGGAGTCAATTGACGAAGAATCGTGAAATCTCCGATGGATTGTTTCCAACCCAGGTTCATAGACATAAATCTAAAACCAAAGAAAATGCCTGAGAAGTTCCAAGTCGCCTCCCAAAAGATGCTGATACTTAACCTCGAATTTAGAAGTGATATCTAAGCAGGACTTCTCCGTAGATGGCTTTCGAAGTCTCGCGGTAAGACGTACTTCGCCTCCAGCTTATAAGTAACATTTTCCCTCAAGAAACGTTTCAGCCAGGACGTGAAGGACAAGCTGTGGCACACTTTCGGCCACTTCAACATGCATATACCAGTTCACTTGCTCACGTGGAGTCCAGTACATTGGTCCTGCTATGCGTCCGCTTTTAAAACGCACTCAGAAACACTGTCCAGCATAGTTAGTAAGGGAAGAACGCAAGGGCGTGTTCAGTTCAGTAACAGAACATATGTCGAATTCAGGACACTCAGTTGCATTTGATGAAAAGTCCTTCAACATCATATAAAAAATCCGATCAATTCTCCCAAAAGGAGTTAAATCAAGGCATCTAGCTGGGCATAGCTGAGCGCCGATGATCCAAAAACTCAAGCCCACGCTATGCATTCAAATGAAGTACTTCCAACGGTTATTCCTACTATAGCCATCATAAAAAAGTCAGACCGATCAATAATGATCATTCTATCACCTTTCTTTTCCGATCTCCCTGTTTATTACACTTTGTAATTTTATTGATTTGCCCCTTGACTGGAAATAGTTCTAGAACTTTCTTACCTATTTCGCATAAACACGCAAATGTACAGCCTAGTTGATGAGGTCGTCTATATGCAAATTTTCTTCGCTGCTGTCAACCGTCATTTTAATAATTCCTCTTTTAATATATTGAAGGTAATATCAGTATAAATAATATCTTCAAAGAATTTATTACATTTGTTCCGTTTTATCCTTTCTAATTTCTTAGCATTAATCGTCTTGAATTGGAGAAAGGACATTTGAATTTTGAATCGCGTTTTGAATGTGGTAATCTTCGCAAAGCTATTCAAGTGAGACTCATTTTTTTAGGTTGAAAATATTATTTGAAATTGTTAGTGTTTTTTTTTCAGTTTCATACTATCGCGGAAGATGAAGTCATGCATAGCGCTGGAGAAGAAACCGTTTGATGGTAGGATTACGCATTGACTAGCCTTCTGGTTTGAGGTATTGACAACTCTAAATGTTAGGATGTCATTTCCCCTGTGTGGCAGCTGTAGTATTTTTTTATTTTTATGATTGACAGAAGCTGACATCCACTGTCATTTCTCTTAACCACTGAGAAATACGACGGCGTAGATCTTCTCGTTGAATCAAGGTATCTTAAAGATTTGTTTTTGGAGCCTGCAAGTTACGTTTACTGTCTTGATATTCACCTTTTAATTGTAACTTTGTTGGCTGATATTAAACTTTCATGTCTATGATTAAATGATAGGCATTTCGAACAGCCTGTAGCGGAATTTTATCAAAAGTTGCCTTTTGCTCCATACTAAAGATCATATTATTATTATTATTGTTCCCTTTAATTCCTGGAGGAACATAGGGCTTCAGCCACACATCTCCATTGCGTTCGGTTCTCTGTTAGAGTCTTCACCTGGCTCCATGTCTGTCCACACGTTTTCATCTCCTCTTCACATGACCTCCTCCAAGTCACCCTTGCACTGACGACCAACTCGCCGCTTCCCTTTCAGCTGGCTTCCACTCGAGTAATGGCTTGTCTAGTTATGTCACTTGATGGTTCGCTTTCTCAGAGTATGGCCAGCCAATCCATCTCCATTTCTTCCTGTCTATCTGTTTCACAATCGGTTCCTGCTGTGTTGGTTCGCTCATTGCCAGAGATCTCTGTTTCTGATCTTTTCTGGCCGGCCATCTGATCTTGAGTATTGAGCGAAGACAACTGTTAATGAAGGTGTGTAGTTTGTTTGATATGCTCTTCATGACGCGCTGGCCAATTCTCTGATCCGTATAGTAAGTAGCACTGACTTCACATTGGAGTTGAAAATCCGAATCTTATTTTTGATGCTGAGTGCTGTTGACCTCCACACAGACTTGAGAGTAGTGAAAGCTTATCTTGCTTTTCCGATTCTCGCTTTGATATCCTCGTCAGTTTCATCTGTAGTTGAAACGATGCTTCCCAGGTCGATGGGAAAAGGAGGTTGTTTCTTTCAGGTTCCTCCCATTTATGCTGATCGTTGTCTGTTGTTGTTTTTCTTGTCTTGAAGATCATATGGTCAATCGCAAAGGGATAAACAATAAGATAAATTCTGTCAGTCAACGAAACAGTCTATATCCAATTATCCAATAAATATACAGAGGGAAAATACAGATAGTTAGGACACACACACACTGAAGATACCACAGAGTGGCATAGCACATCAGGTATACCCTCGAGTGGAACCTAAATAGAAAACGGAAACGAAGAGTTGGGGATTCTTCAAGGGTGATTTTTAGAGAGACCGTATGAGGAGAAGATGAGTGCCTATGAGGACTCGTGTAGTCAAGTAAAGATGACTGCAGAGGACAGGATGTAATGGAGATGTGCTGATGAAGCCCCATGTTCCACTCGAACCTTACGATAATCATACTAATGATACGGATTGATGGGGGTTATACACTGACAATCTGTTTCATAACCTCTTAGCCCTAGCTATTGTATCATTAGACACATAGCCTTCATAAAAATGGTTAAACTTCAATATTTCTCTGGTATGCGAAAATTACTCATCAAACCATTGAAATAATAGCATAGACCTCGGTGAAGAGACCGTTTTCGATTATTTCATTCACTCAACTTTACAGCTAGAACCATACAAAGATAGATAACAATATTCGTTATTCTCCTCATCCGCCTCGTGGAATGAAAATCCCTGGAAAGAATTTCATCACTGAACTGTTCGTTATTTATTAAGAATTATGTGGTAGTTGTCAAATTTCCAGCTCGTAGAGATCCTGGACCTATGGCTAATTTCAGAAGACTAAGCCTAATACGCAGAGTACTATGCATTGTAACCGACGCAGAACAACGGAAAACAACGGAGGTAGCGCGATTGTTTATTCTTCAAACGATAACGGAAAAGATTTACAATGGTTAATCAGTGTCACAGCCTGTGAATAAACGTTAATAAAATGTACAAGAATACTTCTAATCGTATTTCTCCAATCTTCTGCCGGCCATTACATGATTAAGCAATGACAGTTTTGGTTACAGGATTTGATCATGAGCTGAAATTGGTTAGAGAACCATTGGAAAACCAATACTTGAATATCAATGAGACGCTCTCTGGCGACTGGCCCTATTTAGGTAGGTAGTTACCTGGGGTTCCAGTGGGAATTCGTGACCAGTAGGATGCAGCTGGTCGGGTGTGAGGACAAATACTTGCCGAAGACATTGGCTAAGGGTCGCGCTATGTCGTGAATTGGCAGAAGTTAGAATTCATGGGCCATTGGATCGGGTCCCAGTGGCTTAATGGTCTATAGACTCTCCTTGTGACCAGCAGGTCCTGGGTTCGAATCCCAGTGGGTGCGTACTGATGAAGAGTCCCAAACTAGGACGAAACAGCTGTCCAGTACTCCCAGGCTTTCCAGTGATTCTCTAACCAATGTCAGCTCATGATCAAATCCTGTAACTAGTCAACCAAATCCGTTCAAACCAATACTTGAATGGCAGTTTTCTTGTCACCCGTCAATGGAAACCAGTCAGAATAAACAAACTATTCAATGTGAACTAACATTGACAGTAGTTCCCTTTGCTTCACAAAGAAGTGTACCGATGATGATATCTAAAGTGACGTTTAAAAAAGGCATATGTGAGATACAAATCTTTATAATTATATCAAAGATTTTGTCGATCTAAAGCATCAGACATTCACAGCGACAATAAGCCAACGCTATGACTTTAATCAACAGCTGCCCACTTCGCTGGCTCCATATTGAAGATCAAATGGCCAGCCAGCCAGAAAGAACTAGCAAAAAGAAACTGGCAAAAAACCAACCAAGCGCCGATTGCTCAACAAATATGTAGGTGGAAAATGGAGATGGATTGGGCATAAGCTGAGGACGCCATCGAATGACATCACGCTCCAGGCCTTCAAGTGGAACCAATGGATCATTGGTACGACGGTGACATGGAGGAGATCGTGCGAGTTGGAGGAAATGAGTGACTATGGGCAATTATGGAACCAGCCAGCTGAAGCGGACAGCAGAGAACGGAATAAAAGCGGAGATAGGTTGTTGAAGCCCTATGTTCTACTCACGACCCAACGGATTAATAAAAATATAATAATTGAATTGAATAGCGTAAATGTCCTTCTGAATGTACGTAATATGAAAACCACAAGCTTCATAATGCATTAGGAGGTTTCCTACATTGAAATAATCTAAAATAGAATTTATGAGTTTGTCAAGGCAAAGGTAGGGAATGCAAAAGCATCTTTCACTAGCTTGAAATCAGTCTGTAGGTCTGCATCACTTAACACAAGGGAAAATAATAGTCCTATGTTCTTTGGGACCTTGGCGTTTGCACCATCAGAAGCATTTTTGAATGGCTGCAGACCTTCATCAACACTCGTCTTCCCTTGCTTCAGAAGCTTCAGATGGTCGATCGGAAAGGCTAAGCAATAAGAAAATCTGGCGGTCAGCGAACAGGCTAGTAGCTTATTGCTCATTGAATATGTGGAAGAAGATGTAGATAGATTGGACATAACCTGAGGAGACTGTTGGTTGGCGATATATGCGACGTCCTCAGTTGGGACCCAACCAGCAAGCAACCAGTTCAGAATAGAGTCCAAAGGTAACATGCAGGAGGTCATGCGAAGAGGAAATAAGTGATTGTGGAGCCAGCTATAAATGGCGACACAGATTTGTGTGCAATTCAGAGGTGTCAGCAAGGCCTCAGGTGCTACTCATAAAGCAAAGAATGAATTATAATTTGTCTCAAAGTGAACTGTACAAAAGATTTAAATGTTTCACACTTAATTTTAAAATTCAAGCTACTTGTTTTATGTGAGCCTTTTTCATTTTGTCTTTTATTTGTTTATTTATTTAACAATATACTTTAAGGTTCGACAATATGAATACGATTTAATCCTTAATCCTGATGTTAATACTATATCAAATTTACAATGGTTCTATTTTCGTGTATCCAATATGGAAGCGAATGTTTCATATCGTTTTAATATTGTCAATTGTGAAAAAGTGGACAGTCAATTCAACTCGGGTAAGTCAATCAGTAGAACAACCAATTTGCAAACCCTTGAGAGAGAGAGACAGAGAGTTGTTCAACTGGTTAAATATTTTGAAATATTTACGGGTTCTACTTATTTATTGATTCATTATTCCCTTGAGTTCCAAGTGGAACATAGAGCTTCAACAAAACATGTCCACTTCGTTCTGTTTTCTGCTGTCCTCCTCGTCTAGGTCCACAAATGTCCATAATCTGTCATCTCGTCTTCGCCACACGATCTCCTTCATGTCGCCCTCGCACTAGTGACCCGTTCATCGTTTTCCATCCACCTCCCACTAGGGCGATGGCCTGCATTTCATGCAACGTCATTCGACGCTCTCCTCAGTGCATGTCTATTCTATCTCCTTTTTTTCTCCTTTATATTTTTTAACGATCAGCATAAATGAGAGGAACCTGAAAGGAACAACCTCCTTCACCTACCGACCTGGGAAGCATCGTTTCAACTACAGGTCAACAAAACTGACGAGGATATCAAAGCAAGAATCGGAAAAGAAAGACAAGCTTTCACTACTCTCAAGTCTGTGTGGAGGTCAACAGCACTCACCATGAAAGCGAAAATAAGATCCGGATTTTCAACTCCAATGTGAAGTCAGTCAGTGCTACTATACGAATCAAAGACTTGGCCAGCGCGTCATAAAGAGCATCTCAAACAAACTACAGACCTTCATTAACAGTTGTCTTCGCTCAATACTCAAGATCAGATGGCCGGCCAGAAAAGATCAGAAACAGAGATCTCTGGCAATGAGCAAACCAACCCAGCAGGAATCAATTGTGCAACATATATGCAGGAAGAAATGGAGATGGATTGGCTGGCCATACTCTGAGAAAGCGAACCATCAAGTGAGTGACATCACTAGACAAGCCATTGCTCGAGTGGAAGCCGGCCGAAAGGGAAGCGGCGAGTTGGTCGTCAGTGTGAGGGTGACTTGGAGGAGGTCATGTGAAGAGGAGATGAAAGCATGTGGGCAGACTTGGAGCCAGGTGAAGACTCTAGCAGAGAACCGAACTCAATGGAGATGTTTGGCTGAAGCCCTATGTTCCTCTGGTATTAAAGGAAAAAATAATAATAATTTTTTTAACGATTTGTTCTCGGTTAGTTTGTTCCCATAAGTTCTTGTTGCTAATTCTTTCTGGTTGGTCATTCAGTCTTCAATATGGAGTTAGCGAAGGTGGCAGCTGTTGATAAAAGTCTGCAATTGTCTGTTGGAAATGCTTTCCCCAATGCACCAGTCAAGTTTCTGACCCATAGATAAGAAATGACTGACTAAACATTTGTGTTAAAAATCCGAATCTTGTTGGTTATGCTGGCTGAGTGAGTGCAGAAGATTTACAAACCGATTTCTGGTTGATGAAGGCATATCTTGCCTTTTGGATTCTGGCCTGCTTTGATATCTTCATCTGTTCCAACTGTCTGCGGTTGAAATGATGCTTCCTAGATAAGTGAAGAAATTAACCTCTTTCAAATTTCTTCTCCTGTCTTCGTTGCCAGCCTCGTCTTTTCTGCCAGTTTGTTGGTTTTCGCCCACAAATCTTCGAGTGTGTATGTGTGAAATTAGACATAAATCATGCACACGCGAAAGGTAGATCTTCTAGAGTCTTCTTATCGGTCAGTCCAGCGTACTCCTGGCTTCTCTCCCCCTGATCACAGTTTCACACATGATCCAGTCCACCGCAATTATGTGCTGGTTTTGTGAATTTGGACTCGTCGGATAGGATGATAATCATTTTACTTATGTAGTCTTCAGGATTCATGACTACGATTCCACCACCTTCATCAGTTCGTATCAGGATGATCTCTCTGTTGTTTATTGATTCCTTCATCTGTTCTCAGTGGTAGTTTCTGGTTAATATCGACCTCCAGTTTGGCTTGGCATTTATAAGCTTAAGGCAGCTATCAAAAACTGACGATTTGAATTGCTGCAGGTTCTCTTCAGATGCTGCTAACAGATCGTATGTTTGATTTATTGGCTTTCCGAACAGAACCTGTGATGAAATTTCTGGATATTTGATGGGTTCGCGCAGGATTTTAGATTGGGGAGGTATTGCTTCTTGTTGAAATGTTGAAAGTTTGATGTTTGGGAGATAAAATACGTATTTTTCTGGATTGTCCATTCGGACTTCAGGCTTTTAATTAGATTTGACTTGATCTTATCACACTGTTTCTGTGTGACTTCTTGGACATATTCTTTGAAGGATTGGCGTAGTTCTTGACCTAGATCTTAGACTGCATGAACCCGCAAGTCGAAATTTCGTTCTAGTTCAGGGACATGTGATTGAATGGAGTCAATGTTGTTTAGTGTATGTCGCCTGAATGTTGTGGTATTCAGATGGATATGACTGCGTCTGAGTGATTTCCAGTACATATTTGGATATTCATGTCAATCTAAAGATTCTCTTAAAAACTGTATCTTTGCCTTCGCTACTGCAAGTTTGATGTAGTAACGCAGGAAACTGTCGAGCTCCTTCACTGTCACCTATTCGTTGCGACGTTTAAGCAACTTAAAAATTCCTGTTTAGTCATAAAACAGAAAAGGCGTTCAGCAAAGAGTTACTCTTTTTTGATTGAACACTAGTCAGTAACTAGTGTAATGTGTCTAGTCCTATCTTCGGTGCAGACTGATGGTTGCAGATACGCCTTGCTGATGAGTGCCAACTATCACGAAACCTAGGTCCAAGGCTTCCTGCCGATTGCCTCCAACCATCTAATACCAACAAAGAGTTACTCTCTTACTCTCTCTAGTTTTACTCTCTAATCGCTCTTTGTTGTTTGTTGCCACTTTCTATATCTTCGGTAAAGGTGTTGCATCGTTTCGGCTACACATGTTCGGTGTTCAATCGATAAACAAAGCTTCACTAATTAACCTCTCTCTGTCAAATGCAATGCAGTGCCTTGGCTGAGCTTTTTTCTAGGTTATTTAACTTAGCAGGATCAATTGTTCTAGGTCTAGCTACATTTTTATGTTCCTGTAATCTAGTTGACCCCAATCTACTAGCTTAACTGACCTATGTAATTGACCTCACTAACAGTCATTACATAGTATTTGGTAAATTGTCTTATTTTTCTTAACTGGATCTATTGGGTGGGTCCTTAAGCCGAAAACGTTTATCTCTGAGAGAGTTGGCTGGCTGCTCGGTTTAAATGCCATCCTTATTCCAGCCTCTTACGTAAGACCTCTGGCGTTACTCCTTTATACGGCAGTACTACAGAGGCTTTAAATTCTATATTACTTTCTTCGTTATTTTCGTCATTTTGTATTATTAATCTAATTTTTTCTATGGTTCTTCATCTATTTCTGAATATATTCTGGTGGGTAGTTAGTTATTTTACTAATCCTACTTCCTTCATTTGTTTGATTTCATTATTTAAATCTTCTGGCTTACTAGTTATGCTCTTGGTTCGATTATACAGATGTGTGTGCGTCGGTGACACAGTGGTTAGGACTCTCGCCGACCATGCACATGGTCCGGGGTTTAATCCCCTGCCGATGCACACTCGATATCTATGGTCGGCCTGCAAAATTTGGGCTACCGATATCCATGCTGAAAATTCCATACTTGTACCAAAAATACGGTGTGGCATCAAGCTATAAACAAAATAAAATAAAAAATAAAAATATTTAACTAAACCTATACTCCTTCACTGATTCTCGAATGGGATGAATTAAAGTCTAAGTATTTATTAGTGTGTGTGTGTGTGTCGGTTTCCTATAAATGCTAGTAGCATTTAACCCACCATCTTGTTTTCGTTTTATTCTACAATCTACCATGGTCAAATCACCTTGTTCTTTTTCCAGCTCAGAAGTGAATTGGATTCCGTCTACTATTGAGTTTATACTTGTGAAAAAATAAGGAGGGATACGTTTGGATTCCAACACAGTGATGGAAAGTGTCTTCCACTTATCTCCACCATAACCTAGGAGTAGGATTATACATTCTAAGAGCCTTATTTTCCCAAATATCCATAAATATATCTATCACAATTGGGAATACCGGTGATCTCATTGCCATCCCATTCGTTTGTGTATACAGTTTATTTCGAAGTGTAAATACAGTGGAGGTTAGAAATAACTGAACACCTCCTGTTATTATTTCATTGACCGAGCGAGATCTTAGTCCTATTTTTGAGTTCAGGATCAATGTTTAGTTCATGCCTAACTGCCTCCATAGCTGTATTAATCGGAATATTAGTAATATAAACTGTTTATATCAAAACTAATAATTTTTTTTCATCTATTTCTAATTGAATTTCCCTTGGTTTCTGTTTCATTACACAGGAATTAGTTAGCCTAGAATTTGACCTATTTTTAATGATGCATAACACTGATGCTAAATGTTTGAATGGGTCTTGTGCCTTTTATGTTTGTATTTTCATCCGTTTTATTTTTGGCTTTCTTAGGCATGCAACCTCTTTTATTCTCAGTTCGTGAAGCTCTTGAATCTCGTCCATACTGGAGACGTGTTGGTACTCATATTAATTATTATAGAAATCATTTTACACGTCAATTTGCACGAAGAGGTAAGTCACTTGACTCCACTATGTCATTGTCAGTATCATAATTTTAAAATAGAAGACTTTTCATTCTCCAGTTGTTGTTTTTTGACCAAGCAAAACAGCAACTTTGATTTTCTATAGTTAGTTTGTAAGGGTTAGTTTTGTTTTTGCGAGTTGAACACGGATTGATATCAGTTAGAGAACCACTGAAAACCAGCCGAGAGTACTGGGGTCGAACCTAGGACCTTCCGGTCGCAAGGCCATCGAGCTCGTATACCATTCAGCCACTGCTAGGACCCGATCCAATGACCAGCCCACGAATTCTAACTTCTAACAATTCGTGATTTAGCGCGACCACCAACCAATGTCTTCGGTGTGACATCCACCCTCACACTTGACTGGGTGGACCTCACTGGTCACAACTTTTCACTAGAACTCCAGGAAACTCCATCGTGTAGCTTGCCTTGTAACCGGAAGGTCCTGTGTTCGACTCCTCGTAGTGGGTGCGTACTGCCGATGATTCCCAAATTAGGCTGATGAAACAGCTGTCCAGTACTCCAGTACTGGTTTCCAATGGTTCTCTAACTGATATCAATCCATGATCATCTCGTAAAAACGAAGCTACTTTGATGTCAAAATACGTTTGATGGTACATACTACTGACTGTGTGATATAGGTGGTTGAATACCACTCATATCAATCAGTAGTGCTTAGTAGACAGACTAAAGTGATTGGAACACCAGGCTGCTGACCGTTTCACTCTTTTTAGGGCTGATCTCATCATTAGTGTGCCCGTTACTACACAGTTTATAGTGTCGAATAATATGAAACCACCTGGCAAACTGGTCAGCTACTTGGGAGAACCAGAAATGTATCGAATCAAATTTGAAAACGGCAAATTGGTCCGTGATTTTTAAGTTAGGATTGGATGGAGGATTTCATCATGAGCTGACATCGGTTAGAGAGCCACTGGAAAGCCCAATGGCTCAATGGTCTACGAGCTCGTCTTGTAACCAGAAGGTCCTGGGTTCGAACCCCGGTAGGTGAGTACTGATGAAGAGCTCTAAACTAGGACGAAACAGCTGTCCAGTACTCACAGGTTTCCCAGTGGTTCTCTAACTGAAGTCAGCTCATGATGAAATCCTCCATCCAATCAAAATAAATCCCTACAAAGCCAATACTTGAAAATTTGTAAGTTACATAATTCGAGGTGAAATTTTACCATTATTACCATTATTTACTACTTATCAGTTGATGTGAGTAGTATGGGAGCCACTGGCATTTACCACTAAAGCTTGTCAGCGAGATCGAAGTGATCTAAATGCTGTATGACTGTATGCCGACCATTTTAAGGCAGGGCTCATTAGTGATGCTTCTGAAGTGATTCATATCACAGAGGAATTTAGTCTTCTTCAAGCTTTCAAGATACTTCAGGCTTTTCAGTGTCTACGATTATCATAGTGGGAGAATAGAAAATGTGTGTGTATATATACTAACTTAGCGTCTTATTATAATCTGTTCCCCAAGAGAAAACAGTTATATGTGGCGAAATATATATATATATATATTTGTATATTAATAGAGATATATTTCTATCAACTAGAGAGGTTTCTAATGCAAACACAGTTGTACCATAATGAAGATTTATAGCTCAGGTGGTTGATTTTGACTTAGTTGTGTTCTCTGAGTAGCTGGTTGATTTAATTGCGAAGCTTCCATCGTGGCGCTTCTAGAAAACATCTTCATGCGACCATTTTGTCAATTCGCCAGTCCAATTTTTAAGTGAAAATTAGAAACATTCTGGTGGATTACAATGAAATAATGGCGTCTTTTTATGTCGCACCATTATTTATTTCAATTGAACCAAAATCAGGAAAAAAAACTATTCAGCAACTATTCCACAGCGATGAAAACCCAAAAATGCAGTGTTCAACTTGGTTGGAACTCATAGAATTATGTTCAATAATCAGATATATGAAAATATCAAAGGAACACCAATGCAATCAGTTATATCAGAATTAATAGCTGAAGCCTTTATGCAAAGATTAAAATTGATAGCCCCTCCTATAATTAAACCAAAAGTATGGGTATGTTATTTTGATGGCACATTTGTAAGAGTTAGAAGAAATGATTTGGAATATACCCACAAATCAATAAACAACATATTTGAAGACATCAAATTCATAAGAGAAGAAGAATTAGATAACAAAATGCCACTCTTAGATGTTTTAATCAGGAGAACTAACAAAGGAAATTTAGAAACACAAGCGTGTAGGAAATCAACGCACACAGTCCAAACACTCAACTGTACTAGCAATAAACCAATTACTCATAAAAGAAACTGTGTACAGGCCTTGTTTAAATGAGTTCAAACACACTGTAGCTCTACTCCGGTGTTAAAGACAATGGAGGAAGAATACCTACTAACCGTCTTGAAAAAGAATGGATATCCTTACAATCTCATCAAAAAGTGTTCAAAATCCAGTCAAAACACCAACAACAAACCATCATCAAAGACTGCAAGAAAATCCACTCTACCATATATAGAAAATATCTCTGAAATAACAGCTAGAATACGAAGACCGTTTGCAATAGATAGATATAGCACACAAGCCAGCCAGCACAATCACTTTATTCGATATTGTGCAAACCAAAAGACCCATCCAACAGAAAAAGAAGACAAAGTTGATACCATTTACAAAATAAAGTGCATGTATCAACTGCAACTGACATTACATCGGTCAAAAAAGTGGGCTTCGCCTTCGAGTCCGAATCCAAGAACACAAATCGGCTGTGAAAAGACGTGATATGTATTCTTGTTTCATATCAAGGTGTGTAGCGAAATGCATACATCAATTTGATGATTGAGATAATGTAAACATTTTTAATAAAGGAAACAGCAGATAGTAATGTCAAGTAATTTTTAGTAGCCTGGTACTCAAGTGAATCAGCTAGCGGCTAACAAACACACATTACCATAGATCAAATTTACCAGCTAATAAAAAGTAAATTTTCAAAAGAATAGACACGGAAGAAAGAGTACTCTTTTCGATAAATTCATCATCAGGTTCTACAACTATATATACATTATAATGAATGAATGAATGAATTAGTGTTATGAACGACATTAATGTTTAAATAACATCGAATCAGTAATATTGATAAATTACAGCTGAACAGCATCAACATAAAATAAACTGAATGTCAGAAGAATTAGGAAAGATAATATTACAAATTCACGAATTTATAGTCTCCACTGAAGGCCAACCAGGGCAGTTGTAGGGGCTGGACTTGTTTCTTTTGGACACAGAGCACTGGTTGTTTGAGGCGAATTTCAATAGCCTCTACTGTTTGGAGCATGCGGTGCTTCGATGATTTTGGCAATTTATTAGGCACCCGGTATATTATAGAGAAGGATTCTTCTACGCTGGCTTTGTGACCGGTTTGCACCAGATGGTCTAATATCGAGCTGTTAATAGTTTTAACTACACCTTAACTTAGCCATAGTGGGATATATTCTCGAGCACGGGTGCCTAACAAACTACCAAAATCATCGAAGCACCGCATGCTCCAAACAGCAGAGGCTATTGAAATTCGCCTCAAACAACCAGCGCTCTGTGTCCAAAAGAAACAAGTCCAGCCCCTACAACTGCCCTGGCCCTCAGTAGAGACTATAAACTTATGGAGTTGTACCATTATCTTCTCTAATTTTTCTGACATTCAGTTTATTTTATGTTGATGCTGTTCAGCTGTAATTTATCAATATTACTGATTCGATGTTATTTAAACATTAATGTCGTTCATAAGACTAATTCATTCATTCATTCATTATAATGTATATATAATTGTAGAACCTGATGATGAATTTATCGAAAAGAGTACTCTTTCTTCCGTGTCTATTCTTTTGAAAATTTTAGTGGGCATTTTTAATCAGTTAAAAAGTAAGTCATCAAGTGACAAGAAAGGTCAAATACCAAGACAGTCGATAAAGATGTTGTCAATAGAGACGTAAATTAACAACCAGTCAAGAAAATGGTTTTCAGTAGGGAGCTATCAGGATTCATAGAGTCCATTTTATACTAAAAGCCTACACTAGAATGGAGATGAGGAAAGCTTCTCAATTAAATCAACTAGCAGATCAAAAATAGTTGTACCGTATTCATTCATTCTTTATTAAAGGTTAATACACTGATAGGAGCCAGCATAACATAGTTTATCATCCAATCCCACGAATCGTGTAATTTATCTTGTTATGGAGTAAGTATATGTGAATGTATCGTTTCTCATGCATATTTTGATTTAGTATGTAACCAACTCGTCTTTTGTCTCACCTTGGTCTTTGTCGGGTCACCAACCAATCAGGATAGATATTTCCAACCAATAAGAACAATCCATTCTCACGGCTGTGAGCCGACCTTATTATGGTTGAGAAAATGTATAAATATCATGTGTTGTTTCTTAAACGATGTAATATAGTACAGTATAATACAGTATCTTACAGTCACAGGCCAGTCTTCACCCTTCGACAGATTCCAGAACATAGGCATTCCTACCGGCGTCCGACAATCATTATATTTCTTGACCTAAATGCGGAATTTGATTCTGTCGACCAAGAGGTTCTCTGGCGATGCTTGGCTGTAAAGAGAATGCCGAGAAAATACATTGCATTGATTAAGGCACTCTACTCGTACTCATGCAGCCAGGTGAGGGCTTACGACGCGTTGTCATCTGAAGTGGTGACGACTAGTGGCGTCCGTCAAGGATACCCATTATCCCTATTCCTATTCAACATCATCATAGATGTACTAATGTACTTAACCCTATCACACTTCAGCGACTCAGGGATTGACTTGCTACCAGGGAATAATCTCGTCGACTTAGAATATGCGGACGATATAGTCCTTCTAGGCGAGGACTCTGACAAAATGCAGAGTCTACTGAACACCTTGAGCAACAATCCTCGTATGTTTGGCATGCGATTCGCCCCTGTAAAATGTAAGATGATACTGCAGGATTGGACTACACCGACCCCTAGATTAGAAATAGGAAGTGAAGTGGTAGAGCACGTTGACCGCTTCATTTACTTGGGAAGTACCATCAGCCCCAACGTGTTGATCTCTGACGAAATCTCAGCACGAATACAGAGGGCTAGTTTACGCCGTCTCTGGCGTAGACGCGATATCCGACTATCGACCAAAGGGTGTGTGTACTGCTCAACAGTCCGCTCCGTCCTCCTTTATGGCTGTGAGACATGGTCATTGAGAGCGGAAGACATGAAAAGATTAGCTGTGTTCGATTATACGTGTCTGCGTTCTATCTCCCGCGTGAAGTGGTATAATAAGGTGATCAATATTGAGGTTAGGCTTCGGTCGAGTGCTAGGTAAGTAGGGGAAATCAATAGACGTGGCTGTGAAATTACATCGACTGAGATGGTTAGGCCATGTGTTACGTATGCCTAGTCATCGCCTTCCTCGATGACGGGCAATGTTAGCTGATATAGGGTCAGGCTGGAAAAGAGCTAGCGGCGGTCAAACGAAAACATTGCACAAGTCAATGAAATCCACAACAGTTAGTCTAAGGCACGTAGGAAGATGTAGACTTCCTGGTTGGGGTCCTCGGTACGGTAAAATCCAATGGTTGGAAACAATTGGTGACATGGCTCAAAATCTTTGTCAATGGCTGGTGCAGATGCATCCACTCCTTGTGACCTATGATTTCCAATGAAACTGTTTTGTTCTTCGTTATTACTATTCCTTTGTCTCACGTTTCTGTTCACTGTCTCTAATATGCATTTCTTCTACTTTCTTCTCTTGCTTTGCGCGCTACATGGAGGGAGTGTGGCGACTTGAACCGCCTCACATATGTGCAAAGTTCTATGTCGAAAACCGACTGCCCGACCGACAGGCCAGTCTTTGTCTTTTGATATTTGTGTGGCTCAGTGAATCGGAAGGTACAACGGACAAATACCCATATTAGCGTACCAGTCGAGTTCATTACCGTTATAAGTAATTTACAGGCGTAGACATGTGCGTCGGTGGTATAGCGGTTAGTACGCTCGTCGACCATGCACATGGTCCGGGGTTCGATTCCCTGCCGACGCACTCCTTTGCCTCGCTAAGCCAGAAATAATGCTGATGTAGAGGAAGGGTTGGGCATAAGGCTAGAAACTTCATCCTGTAAAATAAATACTGCTACAGAAACTTCAAGCCACTAGCTTGAAGCCCTATGCTCCACTGGGGAACGTGAAGGAAAATATATAAAAATATATATACAGGCATAGACATAACAAATTAGCGACGGAGTTTATTTAGTTCAATCCAGTTATGACAAATTGGTAACGGAGTTATAACATACACCCAATTTATATCCCAAAATTTGTTTTTTTTACTGTCACTTTATGAGTGTAAATAACTGTTAATTTACTAAGAGGTAGGAATTAAGAAAGGGTTTCCCTCCTTGATTACATCATTTCTCCATCTTATTATCAACTTGTAATACACAGCATGCTTCTTTCCTTTTGTTTCTCTTCTTTACTTTTTTCTCTCAAGGTAATGTGGATGGTGGAACTTACTACACAGCTTCATTTGTTATACGTTTTCCATATGCTGGTGATGTCTGTTATCTAGCCTATCATTATCCATATACATATACACGTCTATTAATTGATTTAAACAAATGGCAAAATCAAATATTGAACAATTCAAGGGATATTTATTTTCAGATACAACAGCTAACTTCAACTATTTTATCTAATCCAGTACCGTTAATTACAATTACACAAAATATGAATTCTGCAGGTAAATATCTGTCTGTCTAGCTGTCTGTCTGTCTCTCTCACTCTCTTTTTCTGTTTTCATTTAAATGGTATAAATATGGGATTCATTTTGACGTTTGCCCACTGATTGTTATTAGTGAGAGAACCATTGAAAATTAGTATGGAGTACTGGGTAACCAGCCGTTTCTTCAGCCTAGTTTGGGACTAATTGGCAGTAAACACCCACTGCAGGGCTTCGAACCCAGGACCTTCCATTTGCAAGGCTAGCTCTGAGACCATTCCGCCACTGGGAACCAAATCAATGGCCAGCTCATGAATTCTAATCTCGCTAGTGACTGGCTACAAGATGGAGATTCCTCACTTCTGACCTGTTGGTGGCCCCCATTCTGGTCATGACTTCTCACTAGAACTCCAGGAAATTCCGTCCTGTAGAGCAAGTCACTAGTGATATTACAATTCATGGACTGGCTATTAAGGTTGATTATACTACCTGAATTGTCTGTAGGTTTGCCTTTTAACTGGAAGGTCGAGAGTTCGAACCCTGGTAGTGGATGCGAACTGCGCCGACGGTCCCAAACTAAGACGAAATGGCTGGCTGTCCAATACTCTAGTGCTGGTTTTCAATAGTTCTCTAACTGATATCAATTCGTGATCAAAATTGAAAAAACAAATCGAATCCTTACAAATCAACTCTTGAAAAGTCACTTTCACCCTTTAAATGACAGTCAATTCAAGCTGACTAAATACTGAACCAGGATTATTGTAGTACATATCCGAAAGGGCTTGCTGATGATTTTGCTTCCACAAGAAATGATTAGAATAAATATCTCCGCTTCTTACATAGATCACAACAATTTCCGGAGTTAGTCAGTGAATCTTCAGCTTTGATTCGTAGACCAGACATAAGATGAATGCCACTAGACTATTATGTCATCTGAGTCTGAGACTATTTAGTAATGTGTACCAACGGCTTTTCCAGGGATCAAAGTCAGGAGATTCAAGTTATGAGTCTAGTCTGTTGACGATCTAGCAACTGCCAATACATTGCATAACATCACTGCGAACAAATGGAATCAGTGGATATGTCGCTTCATACCTGATTGATATGGTGAATCCCACTGCCGACAACTTCTCATGAAAACTCTAAGGTGTCAGTGTTGTGTGGCTACTAATGAGCTGAAGACTGTAATTGTGATTTTGTGGGCTTATAAGACTTTTGTCATGAATCAACATCAGTGAGAGAACTACTGAAATCCATTTTAGAACTGCACACTTATTTTTTATTCTATCTTCGAGGTTTTTAGGGTTGTTGTGTACGAACGACCTGATGGAGGATCTAGCCTAGGTAATGCTATCCACTATGATCTATGTTTAATCAACTAAAATGTTGTAATTGTTTGATAGGTGCATCTGTAAATGTCAATGAAGGAAGGTAAGCATCACTGCGTGATAATATCTATGCTCCTGGATGCTACAGAACTGGATTACATTGACTCCTAGCTTAGAAATAGCGAGTGAACTGGTAGAGCGTGTTGACCACTTCACTTATTTGGAAAGTTGCATCAGCCCCAATGGGTTTATCGTTGACGAAATATCACGATGGATACAGAAGGCTCGTTGCGCATATGCCAGTTTACGCCGTCTCTGATGTAGACATCATATCCGACTATCGACCAAAGGGCACGTGTGCTCCTCATCAATCCACTCCTTCCTTCTTTATAGCTGCGAGACCTGGCCATTGAGAGTGGAAGGCATGAAGAGGCTAGGTAGCTGTCTTTAATCATAGGTGTCTGCGTTCTATCTCCCGTGTGAAGTGGTATAATAAGCTGAGCAATATTGAACTGTATTGTTAGCCAAGTCAAGGAGGGGAAATCAATTGACGAGTCTGTGGAGCTACATCGACAGAGATGGTTAGGACGTGTATTACGCATGCATCCTTAACCATCGCCTTCCTAGACGGGCAATGTTAGCTAACATAGGATGGGTCGGGTTGGAAAAGAGGCAGTGGTGGTCAAACCAAAACATGGCTTCATCAGTCAATCAAATTCACAACAGTTAGTTTCATCCAGCCACGTGGGAAGGTGTAGACTTCCTGGCTGGTTAGGGTCGTAAGGATGATAAGAAGCAATAAAGGCTGGAGGCAATCGGTGATATGGCTCAAAATCGTTCTCAATGACTAGCGCAGATGCATCCACTCCTTGTGACTTATAATACTCAATAAAACTATATGGCTCTTCGATATTACAATTGTTTTTGCCTCATATCTCTATCTACTGTCTCTATTTTGCATTTCTTCTACTCTCTTCTCTTGCTTTGTATCCTACAAGGATGGAGAGTGGCGACTTGAACTGCTGCACATCGGTGCAAAGTTTTATGTTGAAAACAGTTAGTCAGACTTCTGATTGATAGGATTGTTTTCCAAGCTGTTTGCATTAAAAACAGTAATATTGTCCGCGAAATTGGTCACCACGCATCATGCTATGTGATTACTGTGATGATGCCTTCGAATGAAGTTATTTTGTAATCGTATCAAACAGATACTTAGTCAGCGGAACTCCACATCTAGTTTATATTACTGCGTATGTCATACGGACAAATTAACGTGATATAAGACTGAGTTAAATGTTTTTACGTCGGTGGTTCAACGGTAGCATGCTCGCCACCCATGTAGGAGGTCCGGATTCAATGTTTTCAGCCGATGCATTCCTAAATATTCAGCTGGTATACTAGCCGATAATTCGTCAGGCAAAGAAAAAAGGTTGGGTGTCAGCCTAGCAAACACATCCCTCAACAAAAAAAGGCCATTGCTACAGACATTTCAAAAGCCTGAAGCACTATGTTGTACTCTGAACGCGACCAATAAAAAACAGTCTTTAGATAGGCAGTTTATGAGACCTGACTGTTAACAGTTAACAGATTATTGGATGACATTGAAGTCAGATAGTTCACTACTTATATGGATGATTAACACAATGCTGCAAATAGTTACTATTTCTGACTTCTTTTTTATTCCTTCACGTTCCCAGTGGTACGTAGGGCTCCTTCAAGCTATAGGCTTGAAGTTTCTGTAGCATTTTGTATTTTTACACGATGGCGTTGCTAGCCTCATGTCCAACCTTTCCTCTTTACCAGCGTTATGTCCAAAACAAGTTCACTTTTAACAGTTTGAAAAATATTAGACATAAGATATATGATATTCATTATAATAAAGGGTTTTTGTATTCTCCAATGAATGAAAAACAACACGATATTGTTGTTTTTACTGACGTTTCGCTATTTAATGATGCTAATAGTTTTATCAAAGTATTATTCAATCAGAAGAATTTGCAAAATCCACTCAGCCTATATATAACAAGCTTATCATCATTCCTCAGCATTGGGTCATTTTCGCTTTGTCACATTGGTCAGTTGGTAAAGATTACAAAAACTGGTGTAGATTGTGGGATTTTATAAGTGTGTAAAATTATAAAAGCAGAGTGTTTTTACATAATGAAATTTCTTATCACACATTCGTGTTCATTTTGTCATTTTATGGGAGAGGGGAGGGAGGTGTTGTAACCAGGTCAAATTCTGTTTTAGTCCATCGTCAGTCCTATTCAGACAATTTGGATTCCATTTGATATGAAGTGCTTCCGACGATATCAGACGTTCTTTGTGATATCTGAAATGCTTTTTCTGTATTATTTCAATATTGTCAAAATCAATTTTGTGGCCTGATTCTATAGTGTGTAGATGAGTTATGGCTGATGATTTTTCAAGCTTTTCTAGTTCACTAACTGGATTTCTTGGTGGTCAAACAGATGTGGTTATACTATGTTAATTTCTTCTGATTTCGATTTCTCGAGATATTTGTCCGATATATATAGCATCACATTCCTAGCATTTTATTATACAGACACAATTAGGTAGAGAATCTTTAGGGATTTGTTCCTTTGCATTGACGAGGTTGTTTCGCAGTGTGTCTGATGTTTTGAAGAAAACTCTCTAGCCTGAATATTGCTGAATATTTCAGTGAGAAGAAATGTTACGTATTTTCAAGCATCATCATGAATAACTTGAAGTTGAAAGACTTTGGGATGGTACACTCGAAAAAAGCAACAGGATACAATGAAAATCCTACTGCAGTGAACACAAATGAGTAGGATAGGACCGGCAGAATAACTCATTGAAGATTACTAACAAGGTTGAGCATTTTGAAGACAGTAAAACATGAATATTTCTGTGTCATTGTAAGTAATTTTGAGTCACATCAACAATGGTGGCCAGCCTCTAATCCCCAGTATCACAAAATGGCTCAGACTTATATCGCCCTGAGTGACAGTTACACCACGGAACAGTTTACTTAACTCTTTATAGTTTCGTGTGGCTAATAAGCAGCATTACGAGCACTTTAACTGCCAGATGTTCTAGGACAGCTGCCGCTAAGTAAACTGGCGCACCGGGCAGCAACGCGTCCATGCTCAAGAAACTATGGATACTACTAATTGAGAATTGGAAACCAGTGCAAGCGGACTGGATTTCAGTTTTAGGCTGGAGATTTTTCACCTCTGCTGCCACCACTGCGCACTTACTTCAGTGCAGAGAAACCTATCACATATTTTGGTCTCAACAATTCAAACTCTTTTCCAGTTCCAACCTTCTTCAGCTAATAATCCTTGTCAAGGAAATCGTCAGTTTCAGATACCATCAAATCACATCCACACACACACCTGTGCCTCACTGAATTCAGTTTTATTCTTTTGCTTATGTAAATTTTCATTTCTATTTTCTGCCTAGATAATTCAGCAAGTAGCAATCAACGTCCTTACATATTTCTAACATGTCGTGTACACTCTGGTGAATCAAATTCTAGTTGGGTAATGAAAGGTCTAATTGAACATCTTTTATCAAATGATAATTTGCAAATGATTGAATTACGTAAAATGTTCATTTTTAAAATAATACCAATGTTAAATCCTGATGGTGTTATCAATGGAAAGTAAGTTGTGGTTTTTTATTGTTCATTTAATCAACTACTCAAAATGCTAATGAGTAGTAGTAGATTCATAATCTTCATTTTTGTAAATTAATTTGCAAATTATTGTTATTATTATTATTCGTTTTTTGTGTTTCGACTCGAACAAGAGGCTTCAGTAGAACATTGTCAGTCATCTGTGCTCTTTACCATAACTTTCTCTACAGCTACCAAGAAGCAAGCATTGTGTTTTCAGCATCGGAATCGCCACCAACTGGTGGCTGCTCAGTGAGCTTCCACTCAATCGCCCGCAGTATGGTTTTACTTAAATGTCTCCTTAGTTTGTGCCAGACCCATTTACTACAAAATCGAGCGACGAGATGTGCTTACCTTTCAACTAACTATTCAAAGACTCTTTTCTAACATATACGGCAAATTTTTGTCAATCTAGTGGTTTTATTATTTGGTGAAAGGCGACTGGTAGTTGAGTGGAGAATACATATTTCGTCCTGTTTGAGACTCGTCGGCTGAAATTACATGTAATTCACATTGAGTGATGGTGTTCTTACTGACACTGAAACACAGTATCCATTTTTTTCAAACATCAAGTCTCTACCTACTAGTTTGCTTGTGCGACGGATGACAGTGGTTATCTGTTCAAGTTAATTTTACTTCGTTGTGTTGATTGATTGATTATACTGGACTGAAATGTTCATTTTCTGGCCAAGTTAAACTTTAAGCGCCACTAACTACCAATCAGTGAACGATGTCGAATTATCCAATGAGACTCACGAACGTTAGTTCAATGTTGTATAGCGCTTGATTCATTTCAAATGCGTGCCCTAACAAGGTCACTGTTGCAATTCGAGGAGGATAGTGTATTCCAGTATTGACTGGATTTAGGCTTTCTTCGGAAGGAGAGAACTTTTTCGTGTGGTGGTGTCATGACTTTAAAAAGCTATAGCAGGTCAACTGATGGATTTGTCCATCGTTGTGCAATATGCTTGAAGCGAGTTAGCATTAGAGACGGTAAGCTGATAATTTTAGTATTTCTTAGGAACTTTTTTGTACGGTCACACCTCTCCTTGACGCAAATTTTGTATATCTGCAAATACTGGGTCTTGAAACAGCCAGTGAGAGCCACAGCTGCTGAGAAGGAGAATAGCCTCGTTTCAACAGTTCAATGGTATCAGCATTGCAGAGATATTGCTTTGTGGAAAATGGAGAAAATCACTTCGTTGTTGGGTAGAGAAGACGTTTTTGTGCACGTCGATGAAACTGTGTTGATGAAAAAGAAATACAACCGTGGTCGGCAGCGAGCGAACAATATTTGGGTAATAGGTTTGTATGACACCCCCCTTCGAAAGGGATTCGTCGAAAGGATAGCCGACAGAAAAGCAACTACTTTAATACAAATTATTACCAGACTTGTAAAACGGGGATCAATAATAAAGCGCACGGACGAATGGAAAGGTTACAATTCCCTGTCATCTCTGGGATATATATTCATCATAGACTCAACCATTCAAGTGATTTTTTCAATCCCGTTACGAGGACACATACAAATTCTATTGAAGGATTTTGGGGCAGGTTAAAAAATAGAATAAGGGCTATAAATGGATCTCAAAAGAATCTCATTTATAGTCATTTGGATGATTATATGTAAAGAATGTGGTGTAACTTTTCTATTGACAGTCCAATGCTTAACTGGGAGATGTTTCTCTCACATGTTGGGGAAAGATACCCCCTGTAACAGTTTTATCCTTTTTTATGCTTTTTTTCTATAAATATACGTTTCCATTTATCATAAATGCCTCTTTAATGTGATTGGTCCGCTCAAGGTCGTTTGCTGATTGGTTTTTAGTGGTGTCGAAAGTTTAACTTTGCCCAGTTTCTGTTCACATATCGACTCTGAGTACGTGGATGCTTCAATGATGTGTGAGAATTAACATGTTGCAAGGCGTCCGCAACAGGAGCTGGCGCGTTAGCAATGACTGAACATTTTGGTTCAATAAAATCACCTAATAGTGACTACAAAATTTTGCTGATACTCAGTATGCCTAATTAGACATGTTGATTATTGATTTGCTGAAGAAATCTTAGCATGGATACAGAAGGCTCTTTTGGCATTTGCCCGCCAACTTACACCATCTCTAGCTTAGTAGACGTGAAATCTAGTTGGCTGTTCATCAAAGGACATGTGTACTGCTCAGAAGTTCGTTTACTCTTCCTCCTATGTGGCTGGCTGTGAGACATGGCCACTGAAAGTGGAAGACATGAAAAGACTAACTAACTATCTGTCTTCGATCATAGGTGTCTGCGTTCAGTCTCCTGTGTTCAGTGTAATGGTACAATAGGATGAGTAATATGGAGGTTGGGGTTCGTTCGAGTGCTAGGTAGGTTTGAGGGGAAATCAGTCATCGAGGTTATGAAGTTACATCGATGTAGAGAGATGGTTAGGAGCAAGTGGTGGTTGTCAAAACAAAACATGGCTTCATCAGCCAATGAAATCCAGATCAGTTAGTTTAAGCCAGCCAGACAGCCAGGTAGGGAGGTGTAGACCATCGGGTTGGTATACTCAAGATTCTGAGAAACAATGAGTGGAGAAAATGAATGATATTGCTCAAAATCGTTCTCAGTGATGGCAAAGATGCATTCACTCTTTGTTATTTATAATATCCAATACAAATCTATTGTTCTTCAATATTAATAACTCCTCTTTTTCTCTCACTCACACTTCTGTTAATCATCTGCATTTTAAACCTCTCTTTACTCTCTTCTCTTTCTTTTGTTTGCTACGTGGAGGGATAGTGGCAACTGGAACTGCTGCACATCTGTGCAAAGTTCTATTTGAAACCAATCAGTTAGTCTTTAATTATTGGATGCATATACATGGTCTTGGAAGAAGCGAAGAATGTCTTTTTTGTTGTCGTACTCTAGCACACCTTGTGAATACTCGTCATTGGAGCTGATGTTAACAAAGCATTTACAGTTATCCATAATATTTTCAAAAGAATGGACACGGAACAAAGAGTACTCTTTTCGATAAATTAATCATCAAGTTCTACAATTATATATACATTATAATGAATGAATGAATTAGTCTTATGAACAACATTAATGTTTCAATAACATCAGATCAATAATATTGATAAATTACAGCTGAACACCATCAACATAAAATAAGCTGAATGTCAGAAGAATTAGGAACATAATAGTACAAATTCATGAATTTATAGTTTCTACTGAGGGCCAGGGCAGTAGTAGGGGCTGGATTTGTTTCTTTTGAACACAGAGCACTGGTTGTTTGAGGTGAATTGCAATAGCCTCTACTGTTTGGAGCATGCGGTGCTTCGACGATTTTGATAATTTGTTAGGCACCCGGTATATTATAGAGGATTGTTCTACGCTGGCTTTGTGACCGGTTTGCACCAGATGGTTCAATATCGAGCTGTTAATAGTTTTAACTACACTTTTACTTAGCCATAGTGGGATATGTCCATGAGCACGAAAAATCAAGTTCCTAGGGCAACAGCCAATGTAACTCGCTCCACAAGCGCAGTTGAATTGATAGATACAATTTGAAGGGGTTAGTCTAGGTACTTCATCTTTCAGTCGAGGTAGCACCATCGGTCATGTAGAGAATAATACGTGTAGTTCTCCAGCATTAAAAGTTCTTTGAACTGATTTTCTTAATTTCTTCGTAAATTATCTCGCTTAGTATATCGCCCATGAATTGTAGTCGTATATAAAGTGGCTTCTTGTTTACAGATAGTGGGCAGTCCTTTTTGGCTTTCTTTGTCATATGTTTCTTGATAAATTTGTCAGGATAACCATTTTCGATTAAAGTATCATATACCATGCTTAATTCATCTTCGATTACTTCTTCTGAGCATATAGCTCTAACTCTGTGGCTGAGGATCCTCACTATATTTCTTTTGTGATTGATAGGAACGAAGCTGTGAAAATGTGTATATTGTCCTGTCCAAGTACTTTTTTCTATGCAAATTTCTTTTTATGCTACCGTCTGGTTATTCCTAATAATCTTGATTTCTCGTTTAAGGGTCCGTCAACTAAATACAAGGAGAGTCATTCACATTCATCTAAAGATTTCGAACCTGTATATTCAAAAAAAATTCGTACAGGCACTTTATTTACCATGGAAATCGTCACATGAATACAAAAACTCATCGCTGCCTTCTCCTTCTGTCCTATTTACTTTGTCGTATTCCTCAATGCATAAATTATACTCAGGTTCTGAATTTTGTGAAGATGTCGATTAATTTCAATGAAGGTTTAGTCATGAGCTAACTTGAATTAGGGAGCCACTGGAAAGCAAGAAGTGGTCGACAGAGTGCAGCGAATGACACTGATTAGAGATAGAATTTAGTATTTTGTAGCCTACTGAATTCCAACCCAGTAACCGATTGGTCATCGGGCTGGTTTCGTAGCTCCTGGCCCCAACCCCAATTGGTGTCCATTGCTGACTAATCTCAAACCAGAACGCGAACATTTCCAACTATGGTGTCTGTTCTTGATGAATTCTACACGAAATCACCATAAATCATGCATTATGTAACCATTTATTTTAATTTTCATAATTATTTTTACCCTTTAGTTGTTGAACTTATTTTCTTGCTTAATTATATCACACCGACGTTGACTCATTATTATCAACAAACTTATCATCAATTAATTGGTCAGCAAGTAGTACTTCTTTGATTCTTTTGCATTCCCCAGTGAAACAATATGGCTCCAAGGCTTGATCTGTAAAGTTACTGTAACGGTGGTGCCGTTTTTCCGGTCTCATAAGCTAGGCGGTATTTCAGCAATGAGTTGAACAGAAATCAAACCAGGACCTGTGTTGCGTGATTGGAGGACGCATTATTTGATATAAATGTTTTCTAACAACATACATCACTCATTAATATGCACTATCTTCCTAGTTATTTATGGTTTTAAGACGACTGAGCATTAGAACTGATTAACTTGATTATACAGGGAAAACTGTGGTGAATTTTCAC